GAGCCACCACGCCCGGCCCAGTTTAGTTTTTATATATGCGGAACTGCAACGTGCAAACTATGGCAGTCACGTACTACCGTTCACAGAGAAGCAGAGAAACTACTCACCCTGCACAGAGATAAATGAAGAATATCTACAGAGCTAGAGAAGCCAGGAAAATAAGAATACTTTCTGGATTTCTAACAGGTTTCCTGTCTCTATATCCCCACATATATCTCCCTGAACCTGGATTTTTTTTCCTAGTTTTGTTTGTTTTGCTTTTTGCACTCAAGATTTTTAGGATTCCCTTTTCTTTATTTAGGCTACTTTGAATTATTTTATTTACAGCCAAAGACCATTAGCTAATAAAGGACAACGGGCCTGTGGTAAAAGAATTAAAAAATAATCTTATACAAGAGAGAAAAATACATACATTTACCCCCCAAAAATCAAATTACTTCTCAACTGTACTTTAAAATTATAGTAGAAATAAATTCCTTCAGTTTTGTATCCTCTTCTTAAAGAGAATGTGATAAACAAAGAAACCTGACCTTCGTTTCTTCTGTCCTCACTGCATCCAACAGATAATGAAGAAGCTCCTGACTGTCCTGTTGTTGGAAATCTTTAAATCGAGGTGCCCTATGATTTAAAAACAAAACAGAAAGGAAAAAGATAATCATTCCATGGTTCATCAACAATATATTACTCTTACATAAAATCATTTTGAAATAACATTGAGTCAGAAATTCAATTTACTACTTTTTCAACTAAGTAGAAAGGCAAAATGTAATTACTGTTCCAACTAGGATGTGATCTTAAGTGTGCACTGAGAACAATATGGCTGTCATTTATTAAGCAACTACTATACATCAAGCACAGTAGTACTAGCTTTACATTTGTTAAGTCACATAATTCTCAAACAACTTCGTTGGGGTGTCTTATTTTCTCCAACTTATATGAGGGCTCAGGGGGATTATTTAAATAATTTTCAAGGTCATACAGCTAGCAGAAAAAGCAGTATTCAACCCAACCATTGTGGTTTAATATTTTTCTACCTTAAATAACCAAAAGCAAGATAGTATTTATATTAAAATATAGGACTATAAATTGATATCTCTATGACTATATTTAAGGATTTGACAATTAGATTTCCTATATATTAAATAAAAGATCAGGTACCATTCATGGATATACCAATATAGTTAGTATTTAGTCAATTTCAGTGACTTTAAAAAGTAATCTACAATAAATTTTAATACTAAAATGAATGTTTTGCCTTAAATGCAAATAAGTACTATATCTACACAGTGTTCTAAGATGAAGAATTCTGTCAAAATACAAAATAGTAAGAATATCTTGTAGTAAATAAAAGACAAAATTTACAATTATTTGATTTTGATATTTACATCATGTGACATAGACAACAGCACTGTTAAGGAATTTATAATTAATATGAATTCCATTTTACATTCAAGAACACTAGGAACAAGCTAAGTGTCATGACATAAATCCAGGTCTTTTGACTTGGAGTCCTGTATTTTAAGCATTATTCTTCATTAGTTCATGATAAACATTCATTCTAATAATACAATGAATGTGAGTCCCTGACTGCTAAAACACTAACTGAACTGGTAGTGAATGTAGCCTGTAAGAGGAAAGACCACTTCATTTAATCTTTTGCTAAGTAGCAGCAAATAACATGTTGACAATAATTTACTAACCTGGTGGGCTTCCCTGTGTGCATGTGGTGGATAGCACCCACCTCCCTAGATCAGAGACAAGGACAGAAACCAAGATGGATACAAATCCAACCCTATTGGGCCTCCACGGCCAGCACGAGGCAGAAATTACAGGACACTACACTTGTGCTATACACAGTAAGGAAGGTCAGTGAAGTGGCAGAATACTGGAAGGGGAAATGGGAATCCTCCAGTGATCCTCAACAGCCAGGTGGCTGGTAGAAGGAGGGAGCAGTTTATGGCTTCCAAAGCAGACACACAGGAAGGAAATCATTCCCAAACAATGCAGAAACTGCTTCCACCATGTCTCTCTGCCTGTAGCTCCAGCTCAACCAACTCATGAACTACTTAACTGTCTTCTAAATTACTGAAGAAAATTTAAGAAACCTAGATTTTTTTCTTTCCTCTTTTACCTAGGACTGGGAAAAAAAAAAATCATATGATGACCTATAGAATCTCTGATGGAGCCTATCTGAGGTACTAATACCAAAGAAAAGTTCAAACTTAAAGGATAAAGGCCAGATGTAGTGGCTCATGCCTGTAATCCTAGCACTCTGGGAGGCCGAGGTGGGAGGATCGCTTGAGGTCAAGAGTTCAAGAACGGCCTCACAATGGCAAGACACCAGCTCTACAAAAAGTAGAAAAATTAGCTGGGCGTGGTGGTGCATGCCTATAGTAACCAGCTACTCGGGAGGCTGAGGCAAGGGTTCCCCCCTGAGCCCAGGAATTTGAGGTTGCAGTGAGCTATGATGACGCCACTGTGCTCTAGACTGAGAGTCTGAGCAATACTCCATCTCGAAAATAAAAAATTACTATTCTAACAGAAGGCATATAATTATTTCAATAGATGCATAAAAAGCCTTTGAAAAAAATTTAATACTTATTCTTGATAGGAACTCTTCAGAAGGAACTAAGAATAAACGGGAATTTCCTAAATCTGATAGAAGGCATCTAAGGAAAACCTACAGTTATTTTTTCATACTTATGTGTGAAAGACTGAATGCTCTCCCCCCTAATATCAGGAATGAGGCAAAGTATATCCACTTCACAATTCTAACATTGTGTTGGAGGTCCTTGCCAGTGCTATAAGGTAAGAAAAAGATATAAAATGTTACAGATTAGAAAGGAATAAAACAATCTTCCTTTGTCAATGACATTGTCTACTAGGAAATCCCAAAGAATCTACATCAAGCTACTAAAACTAGTAAATGAGTTGAGCAAGGTAGCAAGAAACAAGGTCAATATACAAAATCAATTGTATATATTAGCAACACACAACTGGAAATTGAATTTTTTAAAAGTATTATATCATTTATAATAAATAGCATTAAAAACATGAAATTCTTAAAAATAACCCTAACAAAATACATGCAGGATTTGTATGCTGAAGACTATAAAACCCTGACGAGAAAAATCAAAGGCCTAGTTAAGTGAAAAGCTATAATTGTGCATTGGAAGATTCAACTTTTCAAGATATCAATTCTCCTCAAATTGATCTACACATTCAACACAATTCCAATTGACAACCTGATTCTAAAATTCATCTTCAAAAAGCAAAAGGACCTAGAATAGTTTGAAAAAGAAGACCAAAATTTGAACATTCACACTATCCAATTGCAAGACTTACTATAAAGCTACAGTAATCAAGACAGTGTAGAATTTGGGGTAAAGATATATAAATCAATGCAACAGCATAGGGTGCATAAATAAACCCTAATACATATGGTTTAAATCTTTATCCAAATTTTAAAATTACTTTTCTTAATATTTCTCTTAAAAGTAAACACAATAAAACAAAAGAGAATGCGGTTTTAAAACTTTTCAAATAATGTTTGGTCCAGTTAGCATACTCACAAGAATTTATCCTATAGATGCACTCCCAAAAGTATGATACACACAAAATGAATAAGTTATATCCACATGTATTAATATGGAAAGATGTATAAAATATATAAAGCTAAAAAAAGCACGTTGCAAACAACTTGCTTATATGTCTATATGCACAATCACTTTTGAAAAGAGTAAGAAACAGATAATAATTACTTCTGAGGAGTGAGGGTAGAGAAGAGTTTGAATTTTTATCTATGAATGTTTATTATTTTAATAATTTA